ATATAAAATACAAAATATTACTTTTTAACCTCGACTCTGTGTTTTAGTCTCCATCGCAACTTATGTTTGTCATCACCCAGAATGCATTGTATAGGTAAAATAATGATTTCCTTAGATGAAAAATAGTAAACATGCACAATTTTTTAAGTAATTAGGAGTTTTGACGTGTCACAAACAACTTTTAGAACAGAAAAGTATCAAAACATTGTGAGATATGTTGCCAACAACCACAATATACAAACACACACTGATACAGGCATTTACATTATCATCCGCCTTTCATATTTGAACAGTAACAAGCGTATACGTCATCCTCAAGTACACTGATGACACCACCATCTCAGGCCTCATCACCAACAATGATGAGAGTGCCTAGAGAGATGAGGTGAAATCACTGACCAGCTGGAGTCAGGAAAATAACCTCTCTCTAAATGTCAGCAAAATGAAGGAGATGATAGTGGACTGCAGGAAACAGCGTAGAGGCCAGCACGCCACCATTTACATAAACAACGCTGAGGTGGAGCAGGTCAGCAGCTTCAAGTTCCTTAGCGTTCACATTACCGAGGATCTGTCTTGGACTTTACATACAGACACTGTGGTCAAGAAACTTACAAAGTCCATGCTCAATAATCCAGGTATACAATCCAACATTTTTCAATCAGGTCATCTGGACAGTTTCTTTTTTTGTGCCGAAACGTTTCGCCTTCGATCCGGAAGGCTTCATCAAACTGACAAAGACTACGTCCAAAGAAGACTGAAGAAGTTTGGTATGAACGCCAGCATCCTCACAAACTTCTATAGGTGCACCAGTGAGAGCCTGCTGACAGGCTTCATCACGGGGTGGTACGGGATCTGCACCAGTCAGAAAGCACTACAGCACAGGACATCACTGGTAGCAGTCTCCACACCATCCAGGACATCTACCACAACCGACGTCTGCATAAAACACGCAGCATCATTAAGGACCACACCCACCCAGCACAAGGTCTCTTCCATCTACAGCCCTCAAGCAGACGATACAGGAGTCTGCAATCACGTACAAAAAGACTCGAAGACAGTTATTACCCACAAGCTGTCAGATTACTGAACTCTCAATAAATAACACTGAACTACTGACAATAACATCAAGCCATATCTGTGACACCTAATATGTTCATTGGGGACTGCCATGCAAATGCATGACAGGCACCTATTATTCTACACCTCGGAAGAGAGTCTACATTTCTATCTCTGTTAATGCGGCCCGAACCACAGCGTCTACCCCCACAAAAGTTATATCAAAACGACCGTCTCGGCCCCGTGATGTGTGCTATTACTTTTGTTGGCATTTCGAGTTACCATGGCAACGTAATTTGCGAAACAAAGACGCAATATTTCACCAAATCCAGGAACTACTTGGTGACTGCCCACTTATTAATCTACACCTGCAAAGTGTATCTTTTTCAACTTTAATTTGGCCTGAACCACAACATGGACCCCCACAAAAGTTATATCAAAACGACCGGCCCGGCTCCAGGAAGTGTGCAATTACTTTTATTGGCATTCGCAGTTACCATGGTGACATATTTTGCTAACAAAAATGCCAAATTTCCCATAGGAAATTAATAGGAGAAAACTCTTCACAGAAACTGAGTAAAATATGGAGCCATTTTGGTTCAACATGCAAGGAAGGCACCTACTATCACCTATTATTATTATTTATTAGTAATAATAATAATAATAGATAATTATAAATTATTAGTGTTAATAATTATCTATTTTAATATCAATAATTATTAATATAATAAGTATTATTTAATAATAACTGATAAATTAACAATGTATTAATAATTATTAATATTAATCATTTGTATTTAGTAGTAATATTAATATTTAATATTAATTATTAATAATAATTTAATAATAAATAGGCAGTCCCCATCAAAGTTTCTCTAGGAACTTTCTAGTCATTTATTGCTGCTGCACTACGTGGCTGTATCGTGCACGTCACTACCATCATAATTCAATTCATCTCAGTGTTACTCATTACCTGTGCAATAACCTGTCACACAACATGTGTAGTTAATGTTAGTTATGTGCAATAAATATAATGTGCATTTTAGCTTATATTACTACCTTGAAATACTTATTCATACAAATTCATTCTACTTGCACCGTTATATTCTACCATGTTGTTGTTTACCGTTTCTCTTTAGGACCTTGTAAATATCTTTAATCTTTTCACTTTTTGGTACTTTATTTTAGTACCTTTTTGCATGCTTTAGTATATTCTTGTTTCTTTGTCCTATGTTTTTTCGCGAGTCAAATCAGTTCTTCTCATCCTGAACATTTGATTGTACCGTTAACCTTGTGTTATCCTGCATATGACAAATAAACACAACTTGAATAACTTATTAGCATTCTGTAATTTCAAAGACACAAAAATTAAAGATAAAAGCTGACAATGTATCGCTCTGAGAAATGTGAAAAAAAAGTTTAGTTTATTTATAAAACTCAGTTAAAGAGAAGGAAGTGACTAAATCCCAACAGCTGAACTTTTCCTCTTTATGTGCTTTTACTTTGAAAACCCAACTTCTGCTGTTTTAATGGAGGGAGGTTTGGACTCACAGCATCGGCTCTGCTGTGTCATGTCCGTCCACGTGCCGTCAGGTAAACACTTCCTGACCTTCGGTCCCACGATGACCCGGTTCCCCCTGCAGATGTATTCAATCTCGTAGTCCACCGGCAGGATCTGCACACTGCGGATCTGTGGAGGAGACACGGGGTCAGAACCGGGAGGCGTGGTCCAGAGCAAAACCAAACTCCTCTTATGGCAGCGTGATGTGAATTTATTCTCTGTCACGATCTGGGTTAGGGTCATCTGTGAGCGGGTCAGAACTTTATGATTCAGGTTTCAAAGGGTTCTTAGCTTCACTCACACCTGCAGGTGAATATCTACAGGTTCTGATCCATAAAAACAGCCGAAACTTCAGATCTACAGGCTCTGATCTGTAAAAATAGCTGAAAATTCTCGTTTAGTTTGAGTTATTTTGGTCACAGAGAATAAACTCACCACTCAGTCAGTTTGAGTTGCTGCTTTTAAAGCACTACTCAAATTAAAACATAAAAACATACGAGAAAAAAAAAACTAGACTACAAAAAGAAAAATACAAAAATGATAGTTTATGTGAGAACACAAAGTAAATGTTGAGCTAGTTAAATGGAGAAAAACAATAGCTAAATTTAGAAAATGCTAGCTAAAAAGAAGAAAAATGCTAGCTGAAAGAACTAACTAGCTAAACAAACAAAATGTATGCTAAAAAGCACAAAACACCCGTTTGAAATAACAAAACATCAGTTAAAAAGAGCAAAATGCTAGGTCACTGTTAGCTTCGAGCTACTTCCAGCCTTTAGCTAACCTTAAGCTATGTGTAGCTTCTCAGACTGCTATTTTTAGCTTTTGGTTAATTTTATGGCACTATTAGCATTAAGCTACAGTTCTGGTTTATTTAGCTTAGCTTAGCTTATAGCTACCATTATGCTTCTTAATTGTTTTAGCTCTAGTTTTGCTTTTTAGCTTTTTCAATACTGTTCTGCCACTATTAACTTTTTAGCCACAAATTTGCTACTTTTAGATTTTAGCTATTGTCCTGCTACTTTCAACTTTTATTTAGTTTTATTTTTAAGCTAATCTTAAGCTACATTTAGCTTTTAGCTACCAGTATGCGATTTTTTGCTTTTATTTATTATTTTGCTACTGCTAGCTTTTAACTACCATTTGCTCCTTTTTCATTTTAGATAGCTTTGCAATTTTACTTTGTAGCTCTGCTGCTGTTAACTTTTAGCTATTATTTTGCTACAATAGCTGTTAGCTACTATTCTGCTCATTGTGCATTTTAGCTTGTGTTGTGCTTTAAAAATTTTGCTTTAAAAACTCAGTTTTAGCTCATTCAACAGTCATTTAACTCTCGGTTCGTATTTTAGCTGAAAATATTTAAAGCCTAAGGTTTCTCTAGTAAAAACAGATTTTTTTTTTTTGGCCTGTCCTTTTCAAACAGCTGAAGTTTGTCTCTGAGCAGCTACATTACCTGGTTGTTCCTCAGTAATCAGCTAAAGAAACATGCAGCAGTAATCAGCAGATAATCAGTCTGATCCAGAAAGTTCTGATGCTCCGTACCTGTTCCTGGGTCAGGCCTCTGTAGCGGATACCCCCGTCCCTCGGTGGCCGGATGATGGCACAGCCTGAGACAAAGACAGGAAGACGAAGGACAGCATGAGGACAGAGCTCAGTCTGTAAGGTATCAGCCGAAGCTCGCCTGACTGAATACACTGCAGCTTGGCGAAGCTCCGGCTGTCTGTTAACATAAACAGAAAGATTACCTCCATCTGATGAATTATGGATGGGCTGGACGAGAGACGTGAGACAGCAGAGGACAACCAGAGACAAGAGCCGAGACATTTCTGGATCTGGAAGAGAAGATTAAATTACAGCCTTCAGACAAAACATGATAAACGTTTCCTCACAAAATGTTCTGCTAAAATGAAGCCTTTATTGTCAGATCATGTGATTGTTTTGGTTCGAGGGGCCGCGGTGGATCAGTGTCACCATCTCATAATCCTTAGGCTGTAGGTTCGAGCACCGGCTGCGTCAGGAAAGATGTAGAGCTTAAAACTACGAGCCAAATCTTTCGAGAGAACTTTGCTCGCTGAGGGGAGCAGTCGAAAGAAAAACAAGAAAAGCTGCATATCTTTGTTCAACTTGAAGGTTTGAAAAATGCTCCTGAACCAATTCCTAAACGTTCTTCTCTTCTGGACATCGCTCGTCCTCACAGGGAGAGTCCTCCACTGGGACAGGTTCTTATGGGTTGTCCAACGTTAATTAATTTTTTTTGTTTGTTTGTTTTTCAAACAGTATTTCTACATAAATTTACAGCTCCGAGAAAATCAAGAGCTTCTGTTTTATCAAATATTTATATTTTAACAAAATCTGTAAACATCTGAGAGTTTCCTGCTAAATTTAAATCTTTAATCCTTAAGTCTTTGCTTTTGTTTTGATTCAAAACACTAGCTAAAAAAAGCAAAACACTAACAAAAAGAGCAAACCACTAGCTAAAAAAGTACAACTTTTACTAAGTGCCAACAAAGCAAAACCCTAGCTAAAAGATGCCAAGCATCTGCTTAAGAGAAAAATAATGCAAACAGCTAAAGAATGTAGACACTAGCTAAAATGAGACAAATATCTGCTAAAAAGAGCAACAACAAAAAAAACTTCTAAACACTAAGTAATCTGAACACTGGCTAAAAGGTGCAAAATACTAGCTAAAAGTATCAAAAACACTCAAAAGTAGCCAAACACATGCAAAAGCCAAAAAAGCAAAACACTAACTAAATGCTAAAAAAATCTAAACGGTACCTTAAAGCTAAAAGATAAATACAATAGTTAAAAGTTAAAAAGCAAAACAACAGTTAAATACCAACAAAGTAGGACATTAGCTAAAAGTTAAATAATTAAAGAGCAAAACACTAGGTAAAGAACAAAATGCTAACTAAAAGTAGCAGAACACTTGCTAAGAGCTAAAAGTAGCAATACACTAGCTTAGTCCTATAAAATAAAAATACTAGCTAAATATAAAAAAAAAGCAAAACAATACCTAAATGATGAAAAAGCAAAACACAAGCTTAAAAGCTAAAAAGCAAAACACTCACTAAAAGCTAAAAAAGCAAACCACAGGCTAAATGCCAATAAAACAGAACATTAACTAAAAGCTGAAGAATCAAAACACTAACTAAAAAGTGTAACACACGAGCGAAAAGATAAACAGCATAACACTTGCTAAATGCCAAAAAGGAAAACACTAGCTAAAAGGAATAAAACACAACTTAAAAGGAACAAAATGTTAACTAAAAGTAAAAACCAGATTCCAAAAAAGTTGGGACACTAAACAAATTGTGAATAAAAACTGAATGCAATGATGTGGAGATGGCAAATGTCGATATTTTATTCGTAATATAACATAGATGACAGATCAAAAGTTTAATCTGAGTAAATGTAACATTTTAAAGGAAAAATATGTTGATTCAAAATTTCACAGTGTCAACAAATCCCAAAAAAGTTGGGACAAGTAGCAATAAGTGGCTGGAAAAAGGAAATTGAGCATATAACGAACAGCTGGAAGACCAATTAACACTAATTAGGTCAATTGACAACATGATTGGGTATAAAAAGAGCTTTTCAGAGTGTCAGTGTCTCTCAGAAGCCAAGATGGTAAGAGGATCACCAATTCCACCATTGTGCAGAAAGACAGTGCAGCAATACCAGAATGGTGTTACCCAGCGTAAAATAGCAAAGACTTTTAAGTTATCATCATCAACCGTGCATAACATCATCAAAAGATTCAGAGAATCTGGAACAATCACTGTGCGTAAGGGTCAAGGCCGTAAAACTCTACTGGATGCTCATGATCTCCGGGCCCTTAAACGTCACTGCACCTCAAACAGGAATGCCACTGTCAAGGAAATACCAGAATGGGCTCAGGAATACTTCCAGAAAGCATTGTCAGTGAACACAATCCACCGTGCCATCCGCCGTTGCCAGCTGAAACTCTACAGTGCAAAGAGGAAGCCATTTCTAAGCAAGCTCCACAATCTCAGACGTTTGCACTGGGCCAGGGGTCATTTAAAATGGAGTGTGGCAAAATGGAAGACTGTTCTGTGGTCAGATGAGTCATGATTTGAAGTTCTTTATGGAACACTGGGACGCCATGTTATCCGGACCAGAGAGGACAAGGATAGCCCAAGTTGTTATCAACGCTCCGTTCAGAAGCCTGCATCACTGATGGTATGGGGTTGCATGAGCGCTTGTGGCATGGGCAGCTTGCATGTCTGGAAAGGCACCATTAATGCAGAGGACTATGTTCAGGTTCTAGAACAACATATGCTCCCATCTAGACGTCATCTCTTTCAGGGAAGACCCTGCATTTTTCAACACGATAATGCCAGACCACATTCTGCAGCAATCACAACATCATGGCTACGTAGGAGAAGGATCCAGGTACTGAAATGGCCAGCCTGCAGTCCAGATCTTTCACCTATAGAGAACATTTGGCGCATCATAAAGAGGAAGGTGCGACAAAGAAGGCCCAAGACGATTGAACAGTTAGAGGCCTGTATTACACATGAATGGGAGAGCATTCCTATTTCTAAACTGGAGAAACTGGTCTCCTCTGTCCCCAGACGTCTGTTGAGTGTTGGAAGAAGAAGGGGGGATGCCACACAGTCGTAAAAATGGACTTGTCACAACTTTTTTTGGGATTTGTTGACGCCATGAAATTTGGAAACAACAGGTTTTTCCCTTAAAATGAAACATTCTCTCAGTTTAAACTTTTGATCTGTGATTTGTGTTCTATTCTAAATAAAATATTAGATGTTGGCACCTCCACATCATTGCATTCAGTTTTTATTCACAATTTGTTTAGTGTCACAACTTTTTTGGAATCCGGTTTGTAGCATAAGACTTGCTAAAAGCTATTAGTAGCAATACAATAGTTTAATGCTATAAAAGCTAAACACTAGCTAAATGCCAACAAGGGCACTAACTAAAATCTAAAGAATCGCAACACTAGCTAAAAAAGCTAAATGCTAGCTAAAAGTAGCAGAGCTCTAGCCAAAAGCTAAGTACACAGAAGACATTTATACTTTTTTGCAATTTTACGAGTTTACAGTATCACATCATAGTTTGATTCTTCTGCATCTATGAAATCCATGTTTTTATTCATAAAGTCTGATTCTCTTCTAGTAGATTTTAAACTTTCCAACGTAGGTAATATTCAAGTTATTTATGTATTAGTGTTGGAAGTTTGAGTTTTTTTATTTTGTCATGATCACCAGCTATGTAATCTAACCCTATCTTAGTTCATATCTTAGATGTTATTACTGTTTTTCTTATACATTTTATTGTTGGATGTAACTGGGACCTTGTGTACATAATTTCGCTCCACCACATGTACCACATGAGGTGCAAATGACAATAAAGAAACTCTGACTCTGACTCTGACCAGCTATGTAATGGCCCTAATGTGTGATAGTTTTAAGCCCCTCAGGGACCCCTAGTTTTACTTACAGGTCCATATTCTAACAAGGTCAAGGTTTCTTTAATGTCATTCACATCTCATGTGGTACATGTGGTGGAACGAAATTGTGTACACGGGGTCCCAGTTACATCCAAAGTATAAATTGTAAAGAAAAACATACGCTAAACTAAGAATACTAGTACAAAACAATACGCCGAACAACAGCAGCACGACCATGAGTCTGTGTGAGCAGAGGGGTACGAATGAACACAGCAGCATGAAATAAATCAGCAGCATGAGATCAGCAGCATGGATAATCAGCAGCATATATCAACAAATCAAAGTGGCATTGCAGTGATTATTTTTTTTCACAGTGATAATCCTGATTAGAAATTCAAGAGTCTAACAGCTTCAGGGTAGAAGCTGTTCCTCAGTCGAATGGTTCTACACTTAATGCTCCTCAACCTACAGGGGAGCGGGGCAAAAACCATCACATATGAAAGCTCACGTCATTTTTTTATGCTAAAATCTATACACACCTGAAATAACCTGTTCAGTGACTGACTCCTGTGACATTTGTGCTAAAACCACCCAAACAGACAAAACACCTTTAGTACATAACGTTTAGATAAAGGTGAAAATATGAACACAACAGATAAATCACTACCTCATTCTGCTAACAACCAAAAACATTCAAAGTGGCAGCTGATTTAATAGTTCTTACTTTTAGAGAATGTTGTTGTTTCAGTTTCTTCTTTAGCTCAGGACACATCACTGAACTTGTCCCTGAGGCTAATGCTAGCAGAAACTCGGGACCTCAGCGCTACGGACTAGCTTCCCGACCTCTTTTTAAACACTCCGGCTCTTTATTTAACAACATATTATTTGTTACGTTTAAAATTACTTTTTAGCCGGCGTTTTATTGTCCTTTAAATAATTTAAGAGTAACTGATTCCAAGTCAGATAATCAACAGTTCCTAGTTGCGTTCACAAAACGGGGTAAGAGAAAACTGACCCTGAATCAGTGTCAATAGTTCCGCTCTCTTTGTGCCCGCCCCCGTTTCACCATTAGCCAATCAGGATGGAGTATTTTGGTTGGCTAATTAATTAACACGCCGATAGCCAATAAAAACAATTTATTCTAAAATTCTGCCTGGACACAGTTTTTATTCGATCCTGATTGGATAACTGCCATAATTTTCCAGTAAACCTGTGCAGTGCTAGCTTAGTTTTTTAATTTAGCGTCGGTCACAAATATTTATCAGTCATAGAAAATACGATTAATGAAAAGAATGAGAAGTGTCAACATTGTTATTATTATTTAAACATATTAATGTTGTAAAGTAGCTATCAGTGGATCTCTGAAAATAAACTTTAGAGTTTTAGTCAAACATTTTAGCATTTAGAGAAAAATAATGCAAAGATTTTCCCACAAACTGATTTTCAAATATTAGATCAATAAGTGATATCTTACTGCAAGCAGGACTTAAAATGTTGTTTTAAATCTTTATTTTCCTTTATAAACTTTCAACGATTTCAACCTTGTTTTGTCGTTTGGGTATTTGTGTAATTAAATTAACTCAATTAAAAATTGCATGTGATTGTTTTCTGTTGTTGTTTTTCTATTAGCTATAACAAAAAGTGTGTAACATAAAAATTCTTTTTTTTTTTTTATTATCATTAAAGTTTAGTTTTAAGGTGCTCATTGCAATGTTGAGAGGACCGATCAAAAAAGACTGAAGTATAAAACACTACTATAAGTGATAATAATAACTCACTTACAAATACTCAAAATTACAAGCAAGAATTTACCGAGTGTGTTTGTTTACCTCTGAAAACAGCCGAAGGGACTGAAAACAGCCGAAGGGACTGAAAACAGGTCAACGTGAAGAGCCGCGTGAGATGGAGAAGTCTGATAGTTTTGATGTGTTAGTACACATTCATCAGATTTGTTGAGTAAAGTACCTTTACAGGTTATTTACATGGTACTTATGTACTTACCAAGTAATTGTAGAGTGCTTTTGGGGTATATACAGGATACTGACATAGTACATATAAGAGTACTTTTAGGATGGTTACTGTGTATTTACAGAGGTCCACTCAAGGTACTTCCAGGACATTTACAGGGGGAGTATGGTACTTCCATGGTACTTGTGAGGGATTTATAGGGTTCTTGCAATGATATTAAAGGGTACTTATAGTGCATACAGAGTATTTACAGGAGGGCCATACACGCTTCTTACGGGGTAGATACAGGGTATTTACAGGGTAACTGGGGTTACAAGATATTTACAATGTACTTTTGGGGATATTTGCATGAAAGATAAAAGGGTACTCACATGGTTCTAATGAGAATGTATTTGGATACATACAGAGTAGTTATAGGGTACTTTCATGGTATTTTTAGAGTACTTTTAGGATAATTACAGTGTATTTACAGAGAAGCATACAAGGTACTTTCAGAGCAATTAGGTATTTACAGAGTGTCTAGAGGGTACTTAACAGATACTAGGGTGCTTACAGGGTATTCACAAGTGACTGTGCAAACTACTTATGAAGTACGTACAGAGTACTTACAGGGACCAGGCCTCAAGTTAACCCTGTGCCATGTCCATGTATGTCCCTGTCCCTGTCCCTGTCCTCAACGCTTCAGAGTTTTTAGGAGAACTCAGAACTGAAGGAAACACCTGAAGCTTTGATTTAAATAAAAGGTGAATTCATGGTAAAATCTCAGATTAGATTAAAACACTCAGAGATTACGGTTGTTCTGCTGCTAAACGCCGTGAAGAGCTGCTCATTAGTTCAGGTGGTGCCAAACATTTACATCAACTTTACTCTCCTTGTGTGTGAGTGTGTGTGTGTGAGAGTGTGTGTGTGTGTGTGTGTGTGTGGGGGGGGGGGGGGGGGGAACAAAGCTGCACAGTGAGGAAGACAGATGGCAGCGAGGATTCGTTTGCATTACTTCCAAAGTATTTTTAGAGTTTCCTGACAAGAACCCTGCAGGAGCGTGTGTGCGCGTGTGCGTGCGTGATGGAGGAGGAAACAAGGTGATGATGGACAGCCCAGCAGGACTCATCATCATCATCATCAGGGATGAACGGCTGGAAAAGGCTTCAGCTCAGGCCCGTTGGATCAGAACCCGCTCTGATCCTGGACCGGTTCCGAACCACAAACTACAACACTGGGTCAGTTCAGGACCATGGACAGCACACACTCTGGTCCTGGTCCGGTTCAGAACCACCCGACAGACACCACAGCAGTACTGTCCCGGTCCAGGACGCAAACAGAACCCCTCCCCCCAACGCTGCATTGGGTGCGTGTCTGCGCGTGAACCGCTGGGGAAGCTGCCACCACCCGTCTGCAGCCGGTTCTGTCGGTGTGGACCGGGAAATCCGTGACGGCCCGCAGAGAGGAAGGCCGACCGACCCCCCCCCGCCCCCACCTCGGAACAACATCCGCCTAGAACTCGCTGCACGTCGCGGGGAACCGAGGCAGACCTGCAGCCCGGACCAGGACCGGCCCGGTTCTGAACACCCAGCATCAAACCCGAAGCGGGCCTGGTTCTGGACTCTGGAACATGTACTCACTGTGGGTCCGGAGCGCTCCGGCAGGATGAGCCCCCTCCCTGCAGGGGGGAGAAGGAAAGCCCGGCTGGAGGATTTAGCGGAGACGCATCTCTGCACCGATTCTCCTCGGGCTCGGTTCGTTCCGCCTTCAGACGGAACAAATGCGCAAACACGAACCCCGACCAACAGAACCGTTCAGAACCGAACCCCCAGCGTGGAGAGGAGAAATCCACCAAACTAAGAGACAAGCCGAGGAACGTCGAAGCTGCTCTTCACCTCCTCCTCCTCCTCTACAATCTGGAGCTGAAGCGTGACGTCATGATGGAGACGCACCGTGCGTAAAACCCTCCTCGCGCGCCACCCGCCCGCTTCAGTCCCTGGGACGAGGTCTCTGCACCAGGATCCGGGTGAGCGCAAACCCGCTGCTCTGTTTGCGGGTGTATCCCTCCGCGTGCGCGCGCACTGCGGGTTTGACGCACAGGGCGGCTGCGTGCGTGAGCATCCCGCAGCGCAGCCGTGAGTCTTGAAGGAGGAACAGAGGAAGACGTCTCTGCGTCCAGCAGGACAGAGTCCTCCCGGTTCAGAACTCGTGTGGACTTCCGGCTGGTCCAGATCTGAGCTCAGGTGAACAAAAACACGAAACTAAAATAAATCTAAACACAACGCCAAGATGGAAAGACATCAGAGAAGCAGCTAGTCAATCTGGGAAGGGTCAAAGGTCATTCTGCAGAAAGATTAGTCACCAGTTGGACACAACCGATCCTCCCAGGACAGGAGACATTTTAGAGCTCAAAGACCCGAACAGTCCAAGTTTTCCTTCGTTTCTTTTATTTCTTCCGTCTCCTCAGACACAACTCAGAAAATCATCCAGATATTTTTCTTTTTAAACACATTTGTGTCGTAAAGTTGTTTATTTGTTGCTTCTTCTACCAACACTTTTTATTTATCGTTTTTTTTGAGTATCTGTAGTTTTACATGGTGTAACAAAACTACAACTCCCATCATGCAGCAGTCCTGTTGGTTGGAATTTATCCTTAAAACATTCTCACTAAATAACTCTCTCGATGTGCGTGTGATTGTGTGATTCAGTCTTTGATTGTAGTAAAAACTACAAACTCACCCCGAAGGTCAGACAGTGCAATCTTCAGAGAAATGAGCTCAACAGGCCTCAGTTAGATCAAAGGTCCTTTTTTTTTTTTTAGGTTTGATTCATCTGAAGAAACCACAAGACTTCTGGACCAGAACCAGTCCAGAGGACAGATGTTTACCCAGAATGCAATGCAGCAAACAGCTCCTCCCAGCTGTCAGCATGGTGGTGGAGGGCTGATCCGAGTGGCCCAGAACTCTGTAGACCAAAGGGCTCTGGAGCCAAATGAGTCCAACAGCTGAAGATTAGACCAAACTGGGTCTAACAGAACCATGGTCCCAAACACAGCAGCTGATCTACAACAGAACGGGTCAGAAAGATCAGAACCAACAGTCCAGTTAAAAGTCCAGAAACAGAACCTGACTGGAATGCTGTGGTGGATGGAAAGAGGAGTGGGTCAGAACTCCTCCAGAACCATGAAAGACTTCGTGCTCGCAGTGATCAAACACAGAAGCCACACAGAACCAGGACCGGTTTTATTGAGGACTGGTCTGATGTGGTGGTGGTTCACAGACGTTGGGGGTGTTCGGGTTCTACAACAATAAATCTTCCGTACAACGAAACGTTCAGAACAACAACATAATTACAAACGTCAGTATTTACCAACTCTGAATAATTACAAACATTTACACGTCGGTTAAAACATCAGTCGAAGATTTTAAAAAAATAATAATAAAATTATAATAAAAATAAAAAGTCTCGGTTTCAAACGAACACTTTCAAGTTAAAGGTGGAGAATTTTAAAGTGTCAAGGCACAAAATAACTTAGAATAAGAGCTTTGTTTGAAGCTTACTTGTTGCCGTTTATCTTCACGTAAACAATATTTAAATAAATTAAGTCTGCAGGTCGCGGCACCACATGAAACATCTGATGCGTGTCAGGGTTCTGTTTGAAAGACGGACAGGAAGCTTCGAGAAACACCTCGGTTCTTTTTGTCCCGCCGAGACGTTTCCGTCATCGTCTCCTGACGTTTTCTGGTCACGTGAGCTCTTCCTCTCCAAGCTGACGGGACGGTTTTAAAAACTAGTTTATTGTATTTAATCTCTCCAAACTGGGATTTATATATTTGTTTCTTCATGCTAAAGGAACCAGAACCCCTCTGAGGGCCTGAAGACGCACTAAACTAGTGTTAACTAGTTAACTTACTTAACTAGTTCATAGATTTAGACTTCAGTGAAACGCAGTCTCTGCTTTTTAATTCTGGTTCAACAGAATACAAAGGATGGTTCCTAAATTTAAGATTCTGTTGTCCAACCTGTGAGACAATCAGCTGATTTCTGTCCTCAGGTGTTCTGGTCCAGCCGTCCTCGGGTGTTCTGGTCCAGCCGTCCTCGGGTGTTCTGGTCCAGCCGTCCTCGGGTGTTCTGGTCCAGCCGTCCTCGGGTGTTCTGGTCCAGCCGTCCTCAGGTGTTCTGGTCCAACCGTCCTCAGGTGCTCTGGTCCACTCCTCATGATCAAACTGCTCCAGCTGTCTCAGGTCTGCAGGTTCCTCCTCCAGACGTTTCAGCTCCTTCCTCTGACGTTCAACTGGATTTAGATCAGGGCTCAGATGGACCCTTCAGAACAGTCCAAAGTTTGGTTCTGATCCATGTGTGGGTGTTTTTAACTGTGGGTTTCAGGTCATTATTCTGTTGGGAGTATGCTGGAACGCATTGATAGTCTTGCGGTTTCATTGTACGCTGCACACATTAAGATGCAACAAAGCAGGACCAGAACAGAACCGAGCCTCCTCTATGTTCCACAGTAGGTACCGGGTTCCGTTTAGTTTTTGGGTCTGGGAACAGAGCTGATGGGAAGGGTTGTCAAAAAGCTCCAGTTTGAGGCTTGTCGGCGTCCATTTCACCAAATGTTTCTTAATAATCGTCTTCCTGTGCTCCGTGTTCAGTGTGTTACACACCTTGACACCAAACAACCCTGTGACTACCTGTCACCCTTTGTTAGGCAGACTGGCTGATCCTGGACTGAAGACACCTGAGAGGCTGATTGCAGGACACACCTGAGTATCTTTTCGAGGGGAACCATCCTTTTTGTGGAGGTCAGTTTCATTATTTTCATCATTCTGTTGAACCAAAAATCAAAAGCAGGGACAGATTTTCATTGGTTAATTTTAGTAATTGTTGTTTTGTCAGTTTTAAGTTAATCCATTTTTTTTTCCCTTCACAGACGTCTCCGTGTCTGCTTCCTGTCCTGCTCTGTGTCAGTTTGAACTTTGACCTCACAAGCTGAAGCTTCGGTGGTGCTGCTTGGAGAATTGTTGCTGTCGATCTTTAGCCGTCGTTTCCGTCAGTTTGTCTCTCCTGCTCATCGGCCCTCCTCTGTCCTTCTCCCCCTCGTCCCCAGTTACGCTCCCGACGTCGCTGAGGTCGCCCAGGTGCTCCACGGAGTCGTACTTCTCCAGGTCGGAGGCGATGGTCTGCAGGCTGATGACGGACAGGGAGTCCGAGCCGGCTCGCTCCCTCTCCTTCTCGCTCTCCTTCTCCTTGTATCGCTCCAGCAGATCCATGGCCGAATCCAGCCGGTCCTTCCCCATCGTGCCGCCGCCGCCGCAGGCCCCGCCTTTCTCTTGGACCGTGGTGTCAGACTCGGCGCCGACTGGGGGGCTCCGCCCACCGTAGATGATGGGGAGTCCGCCCTCTGCCGGGTCCCGCCCCCTCTGAGCGTGGATCTGCTCGCTGATTTGCTCCAGGTTCCTCAGAGCGATGGAGTAGCGGGTTTTGACTTTGGAGACGTTCTGCTCCAGCTGCAGAACTTTGGTTTTGTGGTCCTGGAGTCACAGAGTCCACAGAACCACAAATTTTACACCAAATGAACAAATCAGCCACAAAGAAACTCAAACAGCTCATCTCAAAAGGTTCAGTTTGTCTCTCTGCGTGTTTTACCTCCAGGATGTTGTTTAACTGGGCCTTCAGCTCAAAGTACGGTTTGGACTTCAGGATGGCTCTTTTCAGGGACTTCTGCAGCATCTGGACCCGGGCCTCGGCCTCCTGACAGGCGTGCGTGACTCTCATGTGCTCCCTCTCGCTGCGGATCCTCTCCTCCTCGGCTTCGTTCACCTGTGTAGATGAACAGATGCTGGGATGTATTCATCATTTAACGCGAGTTCCTCATTTTTCTGGACTGAATAAAACGTGCACTGAATTTAAGGAAATGCAAAGTGAGACGTCATTTAAATTTGACCCATCAAAATGAATGCGGTCATTTATTTACAGAATCAAATTTAACATCAAACATTTACATTAATTTGGCAAATTATGAAAATAACAATATAAGCAATCAATCAGGAAAAATCATACGGCCATGATTTCTCCGTTGCTGCACCAACAGACATTTATAAAACTGTACAACTATGATCTTTTACCCACATGAATGTGGGTGAGCATTTTACACAGACATTTCTAAATATCTGGGAGAATTTCTACTTGATAGAAAAGTTTAAAGATGGGAAGAAGTTTAAAGGGAGTAAGATTGAATGTGAGGGAAATTAAGTGTTCTCCAGAATCGACACTCTCCGGCTTTCTTCAGCTTTTCCTCACAGTACACTTAGGTGAATGAAATCGGCTCCTTTACCTGGAAATGTCTCAGGTGAGATTCCGTTTAACGCACCCTTTCAGCGTCTCAGTAGGATGCTGTTACTCGTCCGGAGTAATGGCGAGGCTCTGTTCGACACACATTCACCTCAGTGGAAAATGTTATAATCCCATGGAACTCGGAAGAGCTTCGTTGTCATGTCAGGAACTCCAACAGCACTCCATCAGAACTCCAGAACTCTAGAAGTCTGACAACTCTCCAACTCTGAGTACCTGTGTGTCTCTCCGTGTCCCTGTGAGTCTGTGTAGACCAGGAAGTACTGACATTTTAAAGACTCTTTCCCGGTTCACTTTTTGGGATTTTTCATTGGTCAGGAACGACCAGAAGGGGTGTGTTTTTGTGACGTAAGAGGTTAGAGACAGCGAGAATTGTTATGAGACAGCTCAGAAATGTTCTCAGAGACCGAGAGCGTTCTGTTTTGACGTGTCTAAGAAACAGGTGCAAAACATCTCTATTTACGTCTGAGAGGATTCTAAAACATGACAGTTTTAACATAACAACTTGTTTTTCGTTTGAGTCCAACCTTGGAACGCACACACTTGCTCATTCAAAAGCAGAAATCAGAAACTGCATAAACTTTGTAACAGCATTTAATCATGAGTTCTAACTTTGCATGAGCATAAAAATCATTACTCAGTTAATAAAATTGATTAGTTCACTGCAACATCTAAAATGGTTTGAACTAAGACACTTTGATTATCAACATTTGTAAGATAGTAATGATAATAAAAAGAGAGTGTTCTTTTCACTTGAATCTTCAAGAAAGAAAGTCTCAGGATGGGTGAACCTGTATTTATGGATTCAAATACATGAAATGACAGCTTCTGTCCCACAAGGTTCTAAAGGTCAAGAGTTTTGACCTTAGACTGGGTTTCGACGTAGGCTTAGTCCACTACACCTGCAGGACGAACAGCAGCAGCCAGATGAACGAAACACACATTGGACCTTTATGGAGCCGATACCTGGGCTCCAGAACCTTTTCTATTTTTAAATCCAGACCTCAGAGCTTGGACACTTTCAAATTTAAATATATATTAAAAAAAACACTTCTATACGTTGGCTTTTAGTACCAGCTGACCCTGACATGACTTATGTAACGTAAGTGTTTGTATGCGTGTATTTGTACACAAATAAAACTTATTAGCTATTTGAACTCATTTTATAACTTTGTTCTTGTCCGTATTCATTACTGTGTTGGTTTCATATTTATTGATGTAGTGTCTGGAGAGCAGTTGTTTGGAAACTGTTTAATATAAATAAATGTGACTCGATATGATTATTTTACCTTCATTTATATTCCCTAAAGTTTTATTACTTTTATTTTCAAGTACTCTGCATCTGTAGGATCAAGTAAAACTGCTGTTTACAGAAAGACCAAGTTGTGGTTGCTCAGTCAGCTCCTCTTCCTGTTTGAATCAGCGTTTTATCAAACGTGCATCAACATCATCCAGGTCTGCTTATGGAGCGGGTCTGATCCGTAACAAGAGGATAAAACAATATTCTACCTTCATACGGTTCAGATTTTATTGTCGGTGTGTGGATTTAACCACCTGAACTCTGCTGAGAGGAGGAAACGAGCACAAATCAAGAAGTTTCTCCCCGACATAAAAGCTCCGAATGATTCTTCTGTTCCTCGACTTGGAGGTTAGTGGTTTGTCGCCCACATTAAAGCCCGTTACCTTGGCGGTGGCGTGGTTCAGCATCTCCTGCCAGGTGGGATCCAGCGTGTTCTTTCCGTCAGCCATCAGGCCCTGCTCCGCCACGTACACCATCTCCCTGGCAGCTGTGTGCATGGAAACGGCTCGCTCGTAGCTCAGAGCCGCCTTCTGGGTCTCCTGTTGAGCCTACAGAGAGCAGGTGGACTTTTTTACTCAGGTGGAATAACACGACTCCACTGAGAGATAATGTAGATTATCAAGGTTTTATACAATTACCTCCATTAGGCTAATTAAATAAATTGTAGTTTATGATCAGTTATAAATTGCACTCAGTGTAGTTTTGGCTGCTGTGGGATGAAAAGATGGCCTTTTCATTGTACTTCTTTGTCTTTGTTTTCTTAAAGTGGTCAGTGGAACAGTTTCAGGCAGGAATTATGGATTATTACCTCTTTAGCGAGCCGGCGAGCTTCGTAATAGGGCCTGGCCTTTTCAATGCAACTGCCGAGCTGCGAGCTCTGAGCGTTCAGCTTCCTGGCAGACTCGGTGAGGATCTTCCTGTAGCACGATCTGGCGTCCTTCATGGTTAATGCACAAAAATTGAAGCGATTAGATTCACATGAACTGGAACACCGGGTCTAATTTCATGCAGAGGAAGCAGCTGGAGGTGAACAATCAATTCAACGAGTGTCAAACTGACACCATGAATATATTTGCCCACGTCAGAAGCTGCTCACAAGCAAGATTAAAGCATTTTACTGTGGTTTACATATAAAAAACATGCAGCAGATGACTGGGTTAATTTATAACGTGTACTTACATCCAGTTCCAGTTCTAGTCTGTTGATTTCTGTGCTGGCTTCATTGAGGTGCTCCAACTCTTCCTGTGTCAAAAACAAACAAAATGTCAGGAATTACAAGAGAATAATAACAGTAGATTTAATGTTCATCCCTATAATGGCTGCAGCTTTGGACTGCGTTAAAGATGAGCGGAAACTGGAGGATGAATCATTCACCAGGTATGAGACAGACACTAATCTGACAAGATGATCTCACAATCAAAGTGTAATTAAGTGCCCAATAACTAATTAACAGCAGCCTCTCCGTTATGGCCATTAGAGGTCTGCCTGTCCTATTGGAGGTAGAAACCCCGCTGGCAGGTAACCAGAGCCAAACATCTCACCTGAATCCGGGGGTCCAGCTCCTCTTCATAGGGACTGTGCACCTGTTCCCCGACGCCTTTTAGTTTCCCATCCTCCCTGCAGGTGTCTTTCAGCTCCGTGTCTGCTGTCGTTCCTTCACTTTCAGCAGCTTCCTCCCCGGGGGTCACCTCCCTCCACGGCACACCGGACTCCCCGGAGCCGGCGGGGCTCTCACGCAAGTCGGTTAGCTCCATTCCAGGCCGAGCAGTGGCTTTTTCTTTGCGTTATGGCTTGCTTTACAAACCCTGGCTCGTCTAGCTGCTGGTGAAATGTGAGCTGCGATGAATCAGAAAGTGTTCCCAGCAGAAAGAAATGAGTTGGAAAAAGCAGCCATTTCACTTATAAAACCTAATGCAGCTCGTTAGCATGACGTGCCTGTAGAAACCCATTGCAGCATGTTAGCCTAGCCTGCTAAATAGCGAACACCAAAACAATGCCGTTAGCCTAGCTAAAAAGCTAGCACCTAGCCTAGCATGCTAACAGGCTAACTAGGGAACTACGGTTGTTGTTTTTCCGCGATAAGATAACTAGTAGCTGCCTGGAGGCGCAGAGTAGAAGGAGGTTTATCACTGTGACCCCCCTTCAAGCCCCCTTTATCCTCCATCTCCCCCCGGTGCCTCAACCCTACAAAAAGGTTGACCAGCTAGCTGTTTCTGCCTCACATCATCCTTACAAATGAAACCAGGCCAGCTCGTGCGGCGCAGACCAGACGTCAGCGTTTGAACCTAAACGGCCGCCGTAGACACAAAACGCCGACAGAACGAGACTTTTTAAGACTATTTAATGATTTTGATTATTACCGTAAGTTTATCACTATCTTTAAAATGGGTTAAAATAATCTTTAATCTATCAGTGATTTTTAAAAAATCTTTCTTGGGGCATAATGTTAGTCATTTTAAAGAAAGCATTGTGATAGTTGTGCTTCATTTTTACACATTTCCATAAACTTTAACAAAGAGCTCCTCGTTTTGCTTCATAAAACCTTCGTCATACGTTACAATTATTAACTTTTAATAATTAATTATTAAATATTATTAATTTAACCAACAATACTGAAGGTCTTCCTAAATTCGACCTTTGGACTTTGGTTGGTTTTCACTTTCAGTCTGTGCACCTGAACATGTTCAGATTCCTCTGAAGTTTCATTCAGGCATAAAAACTTCTAAACTCAGGAGATGAACCTGAGTCCTGATGAGATGCAACACGTGGCTTCACAGAGAACCAGACTGGGTTTTTGGTCCCGTCAAGCAAGACACAATTAGTTCAAAGAGAATCAAAGAAAAACACCAGAGTTTGACAGCAAAACAGGATTTTAGCTCCAACAAGGTGAACGCTAAAGAGCTGAAAAAAGACTTGTCTGACTAGTTGGATGTAAATAAACACAATAAGGCTGGATTAGAACTTTTGCACAGGCCTGCATAAAATGTTTTTGAATTAAAAAAAATTGAGAAATGTCATTTTCTGTGAAAACGTATCAACGCTGAGTGAAAAAAAATTCTTTAAGTCAAAAAGAGCAAAACAAACGTTAAAAAGATAAATGCTAGTTAAAAGCTAAATGTAGCACAAGTAGCTATAGCTAAAAGTAGCTAAAGGTTCATGAAACTGGATGAACCATACATGTGAACGAAACCACATTAAAGGGATATTTCAGCCATTTTTAAGTGGGGTTTAGTGTGACTCTCAATGACAGAAATTACATTTTCTGTAAAAAAAATTATAATCTGAACGGCCGCTGGAAGATAAAACTAGAAAGTTCCTGGAGAAACTTTGACGGGGACTGCCTATTTATTATTAATATTAAATATTATTAATATTAATACTAAATACGAATTATTGATATTAATAATTATTAATACATTGTTAATTCATCAGTTATTAAAATTAATAATTCATAATCAATATTAATAACATTCACACCAATAATTGGTATCAATATTAAATATTACTTGTTAATATTAATAATTATTGATATTGAAATAGATAATTATCAACACTAATAATTTATAATTATATTTATTATTATTAATAAATAATAAAAGGTGATAATAGGTAATAATAGGTGCCTTCCTTGCATGTTGAACCAAAATGGCTCCCAACGTTACTCAGTTTCTGTGAAGAGTTTTCTCCTATTCATTTCCAATGGGAAATTTGGCATTTTTGTTAGCAAAATATGTCGCCATGGTAACTGCGAATGCCAATAAAAGTAATTGCACACTTCCTGGAGCCGGGCCGGTCGTTTTGATATAACTTTTGTGGGGGTCCATGTTGTGGTTCAGGCCACATTAAAGTTGAAAAAGATACACTTTTCAGGTGTAGATTAATAAGTGGGCAGTCACCAAGTAGTTCCTGGATTTGGTGAAATATTGCGTCTTTGTTTTGTCAAATTACGTTGCCATGGTAACTTGAAATTCCAACAAAAGAAATGGCACACATCACGGGGCCGAGACGGTCGTTTTGATATAACTTTTGTGGGGGTAGACGCTGTGGTTCGGGCCGCATTAACGGAGATAGAAATGTTGACTCACTTCCGAGGTGTAGAATAATAGGTGCCTGTCATGCATTTGCATGGCAGTCCCCAATGAACAGAACACTAGCTAAAAGTTTTAAAAAGCTTGTTAAAATAGCAAAGGGTTAGCTAAGAGTGCCAATAGATAAAAGTAGAAAAGGCTAGCTCAATTCAAAAGTAGCAAATTGCTACTTTTAAATGCTGCAAGCAGCAAAAAGCAAGCTAAAGGTTTCAAAACCGAACTAAAAGAAGCTAAATGTAAGCGAAAAGTGTCAAAGGGCTATTTAAATGCTAAAACGAAAAAAGCAAGTTAAAAGTATCGTAGTAAAGCAGCTAAAAACAGCAAAAGGCTAGGTGAAGGATAAAAGTAACAGAATGGTAGCTAAATGCTGCTAAAAGTAGCTAAAGGTTAGCCAAATGTAGCATAAAAAGATAAAAAACTGACCCAGCTCAGAGAACGTTGATCAAACTGAACTATGGGACAATAAAAGCTACAAATCCAAACGTCATTGCAGCCATCTCATGAATGAGCCGAATGTTTTGATGCGTAAACAGCTAAAATGGCACAAAGTCTGCAAGTCATTCTATTGCAAGTAAACATACGTGAAATTTAAAAAAGGTAAACGGGCCAGGGTGAGATTACGGGTTCTTCTTTGTTGAAACGTTACGTCGTGTGTATGTTGACTCACCGTTCACAGAATAATGTGTTCAAGCTTAAATACAAGTACATTTACTACGTACTACAATAAATACTGTTTACATTTAAACTGAGCTGAGTCAGAATCAAAAGGGAAGTTGTGCATTCATTTGTTTTTATTCCAAAAATATGCAAATATCAAGTGTTTGCAAGGCAACAAACCTGCCAAGAGGATTTCAGAGCAAATCATTTGACTGAATTCAAGCAGGAAGAGCCGACTCTCAAATAAGACCAGGAGAGTCAAGTGACAGATCATGTGACCACTCCCAGCA